AATATTGTATAATTCATATCTAAGCCTTATTAGTGATTTGGAAGGGTTTAAGGTCAAGAAAACCCATTAAATATGAGTTTACGGCCCAAGATTGTGCCTTGGCTATAAAATCCTTCAAATACATCAAAAACCATGTTTTAAATGTTATAAGTCCTTTCCATGAAGCCATTAAGCCATATCTAAAGTCCAAAATTGCTTAGGAGGGGTTTTAGGGCTTAAAAACCCACTTATTATGAGTTTACGGACTAAGATCCTTCCAGGGCCGTAAACTCATATACAAGGTCTTAAATCATGATTAAATCCCTAATTTGGAAGCCAAATATGCTATAGATTAAGGTTAGGAAGGTACCTTAGGGATTTGAGGCCTTAAAATTGAGTTTTGGACCCTTAAACTTTGGATTTAGGAGAGAGATTAGAGAGAGGAAGAAAAAGCTTCGAATGGGTGCTTAAACACATTTATATAGGTCCTAAAACTTGGACACGGTGGAATTCTACCCGATACCGGCATTAAACGAGGTTTTAGGTTGCACCCGATTAAGTTTCCATCACCCGGCGGGGACGTTTCTAAAACTTATGAAATAAATATTTTGGGCTAATTACATGAGTTCCTAAGGGGTTTGGACACTCATTAAATTATAATAAACATATAAGTTTAAATAATTTAACCCAAAGTGAAAACGGAACGAATTTGATAACGGCGAATTTTTCGGGTAGAACAGGTTTTGGCGATGAACAACGTCGGGTTGTTACACCATAATACCCTCCTTGATCGTACCAAAGATCATAGGAGTCTACTTAAGTATGCAACACATAACCTCAGACAAAATGAGCTCCCGCGTCTGATCATCCAACTGCCTGATTCTAGAACCTGAGCCCGAGCCCTCACCGGCACAGGAACTACCAACCGGTTTGCCTTGAAGAGTCATCATACTAAAAATAGACCATATAAACCATCATAATATACATATATATATATATATGTATGTATATATATATATATATATATATATATATATATATATATATGTGTGTGTGTGTGTATCAAGGAATCTCATACTCTACAAACTTCATGGTTTCATTTCAACTCTCCTTGACCTGAGTATGGATCCTTTGCTTCTAGTAGTATGGGCCCATACTACCTTCCACATCTATTCGTACTTTCCACAAGGATTACCTTGAATCCTCCAAATCACTCCCTATCCACATGTACAACCTTCCTCAAGATAAGGCTCCCAACACTAAATCTCTTCCTAAGTTTTCCTAGGGCAATCACCACACCACTCTCCGCCATTAGTTGTAGAAGGAACTCCTACCAGCACCCTCTAACTAGCTCACAAATACAATTACATATATAGACTCCATATAATTTTTCGAATGAAATGTATCACGCTATAATGGTTGGACTCAAACAAGAGTTTCATAGTAAAGTTAAAACCTAACCTTCTAAAATTATTTAGTTCCCGCGACATGTAACTTAACATATTTGCTTACTAGTTAGCTGATGTTAGCGAGAACTCCTAAAAGCACAAAGAAAGTAGCATTTGAGCATGAAGTAATTTGAATCAGGCATAACCTAATCAGACCATCCTATCACTGACTTATCAGTACTAGCATGCAAATCTACATGCTCATACAATAGACATACAAATCCATCTCTCCTAGCATTCTATCATGTAAATATTGAACATATCCTGAGCCCTAGCTAGCATGCGATTCACAGATTCATAGATCAAATCATATCATGTAACATGTATGGGTATTTTGGGAGAAATGGAGCTCAGTCAATTGCATACACTACACCCTTTTCTTGTATTGGAAAACCCTTTTATAAAACATTTCCTTTTTTTTGAAAATGTTTACCGAATCCTCAATTTGAGTTCAGACACACCCAAGAGTATATCTAAATCTCTCAAAGTAAGAGTCTGATACCAACTTGTAACGTCCTAAAAATTAAGACCAAAAATTTCATTTTTAACTTTATAAAACTATAATCCTAAAGCATTATAATGTAACCAAGGTGGAACAAAGTGTATCAATACATCATAAAATATCATAGTAAATCACAAATGCAGAATAATGTGGTGTGTGCTCTAAATTCACACCAAATTCATCCATTTCGAACCAGAAGTAGCTGAAACATAAACCGAAAACCATAAGCATGAAGCTTAGTGACTTTCCCAAAATACAATATACCACACATATCTAACATATAATAGGCCCCGCCCGATGAGTGTAACGGACCCAACCCTAAATCACATAACGACCCCTGCCCAGTACGCATACAAGCACATACATATGCGAGAGTCACACAAACATCTAGCAACCTAACATATAAAACCATGGTCTGGCATTGGTGCCTTCGACACAGTAAACTTGGTGAGGAAACTCACCTCAACTACCAAATCTCTCGGATATATCTCTACCGGTCTGACAAATCCCCGTGCTATCAATTCCAATAACATCCAATTAATAATTGGATCCCAATCCATAACCATAATTCTAATCAATTGGGCCCATAATGTAAAGACCCGTAATTTCAAATCAGTGTAATAGTTTAGATTAACTTGTAACTAGTTTTTTAAGTAATAAAGAGAAATTTTTGAATACTATGTGCATTTACTTAAATCAATCCTCAAAAAAAAAATGTTAAATAAACATGATATCTATGAGGAAAGTAGTAGTGATCATGACAAGGATTCCAAAATTATAAAGAACACTGAAATTTGAGTTATAAAAAAGAAGTTATGACCTATCAAAGATCCGCGACAAAACCGACAAAACACTGTGTAGCATAAAAACGTTAGTTTACAATAAAATGATTTTTAGCCTTAGGTATCTAAATGAACATTGTAGTATACAATAAACCGAGAGTGTACGTAAAAAGAACGTCCAAATTTGACTTCGTGCGATCAAGTTATAAATTTTCTAAGATTTGACATAGCAATATGCAACCGGAAACTCGAAATTTAGATCGAACAACTTTTGGCTAAAACAACCTAAATGAGAATCATAGATCTTGTCAAAAGAAATCCAACGGTAAAAAGACAGACGAAAATAAACATCGGATAAAGAAGTTATGAATTTTTAATGAACTTTTCTTGTCCCAACCTATTAAAATTATACCTTTAATATTAAAATCAAATGTAGCCGACGGAGTCTAAATGAAAGTTATAGAGCACGGTCTCACATACGCGATGATATAAAGAATGTAAAAACGGAGCTCGTACGCGAAAGTTACGAATTTTTTAAGTTTGAAAAATAGGAGTACGCCTCGCGTACAAGAGTACACCCAGCGTACTCGGAAGTTAGGCCTCATATTGTCCACATCGCCTTTACCGTCACATGCAACACGTATCTCACACTATCGATACGTCTGAAACTTGGATAAGGATTCAAGGTACTACGCCCCACGTACGAGATGTACGCCCAGCGTACTGAGGTTCACATTAATACGCCCAGCATACCAAGGAATTACACTTAGCGTAATACTAGACCTCAGCCTCCTATAAATAGGATGCGGGGCCTCCAGGTCTAGTTTACAATTTTCAACCTCTCTCTTATCTTAAAACACCCTTTCAAACTACTTTTCAACCCCTAAAGCCTAGAATACCTCCCTAACACCTGAGGAAAGCCAGGAGCCCCGAAGGCCTTGAGAAAATAATATTTTCTAGTCGAAAATTTGCCCACGTAAAGCCTGGTTTTTCATCTTCGTCAAAAAAAATCATTCCTAGAAATGAAACGCTGCCTGAATCACCACAGTAATAACACACAGTAATAATCAAACAGATGTTGAATGATTAAAAGTCATGCGTCAGCTAAACACGATGAATAAATTTCACTGTAGAGGCGTGCTTGGGTTATAAGATGAATAAAAGGAGTATTTTAAAATAAGATACATGCATGCACAATATATACTCTAACCCTAGAATTAAATACGTGAGGACAGGCCCAACCCATTTACAAAAGCAGAGTAACTACAAAGCCCAATGACACAACAACAAAATACTCAATAATCTCCCCTTTGCGTCAACTGAGGCTATAGCCCATCAACCAGTGATTTGCTTCTGCACTTCATAGATTTTCAGAATAAAGCAAAGTAGTGTCTTGCGAACCTAAATATACCAAAAAATCGTATCCAAAAAGCACTTGACATCGTCCTTGTGGTTTCCCTTGAATGGTAATCAAGTCCAATATAAATTCCAGACAAGCAGTATTGTACAAATGTTTGTCTTCGAGATAGAAGTAAGACTTGCGAAAGTCAGCTCCTGTTTGTTCTCTGGACTGGTACACTACGAACCATCATTCCTTGTATATCTTCCCTGGCTTTAATTTTTCTAAGTCTTTCAGATCTTCCTTGGGAACACCATTCAGCTTCTTCATAAGAACTGTAGCAATATCCACATCCATCAATCCAACTTCTTGAATATAAGACTTGAGCATCAGTTAGAGATGGGACATAACATGTTCGTACTTCTCTTTCTCTCTTAGCAACATGTTGTAGATTACATTCCAGTCATTGGGATTCAAACAGGGCAAGTCTGCGAGGGTGAATTCGTAGGCTTGACAAGCCGAACCTCTCGCTACTTTGAACTTCGCATTGGGAATCTTTCAGTCTCGATTAGCCGAGTGACCTTCACGACAACTATTTTGTGCACACTCCAAGTTTGATAGTGGGGCTTCATGTGCCTCAAGTATAAAGAGAACAACAGTTGATCAGCACCACTGTATGTGAAAGGAGCATTTGCAACCTTCACGAAAGCACGAATCTTAAAAGCTTTCGAAGTAATGGGAAGATCGAGTTGTGAATCCTAAGAGTTTTGACGATCAAAGGATGCAACAGGATCCAACCAATACTAGCTTGGAAACTCTACAACATCATGATGGATTCGCTTCAGGGTCCACAAGCGAAATAACAACATTTTGCTTTTGAGTATGGCATGAGCTTCCTTTTCTTCACTTTCTTTTTCCTCAGCCTCCCTGACGATTCATTGATTTTCATTCTATTCAGCATCACGAGCCTTCCGCCTTTTAAGTTCAGCTTCATCAGGCTCGTTGTCTTCGTCATCATCAATTATGGGCTCTTCTTCAATTAACTTATCTTTGCCCTTAAGTTCTTTCTTGACAATGGGCATGGCTAGGACTTTGGGAGGTTCAACTTTTCCAGATCCAGCTTCTCCACCTTGTGTCTGATCAGACCCTTAGGAGAAACACCCTACAAACGGTGCAACATCGCAAATAGATGGCTTAGGGGTCGTTTGATAGTTGCTGATTGGGTTAGAGCTTATTGAGTTAGGAGCTGACTGGGTTAGAAATGCTGACTGAGTCTACATCTGACTGAATTTATGCTGTTTGATTATTTATCTGACTGATTGTGCTGAATGATTAAAATGACCATATTATCCTTATGTTGTCCTTTTGTGTTGGATAAAATAATTATACAAATAAAAATTATCACATTAAATCCAAATTAAACATACATAATTAAAAATCCAAATAAGAAGTGTAATACAAAATCCAAATACACATTGGCATACATAATAAAAAAGTAAATCATTTAATGTGAACCATTTGAAAGTAACTGATTAGCAATCTTGTCACGCAAAGTAGTCATATACTCAACGGCTTCCGAATCCCATTCTATGCCTTGTATGTTTTAGCCCTCGCTTCCTCCACCTCCCACATTAGGAGTAACCATAGTGCTTTGTTCAAAGTTTGTAAATAGGTCATCTTCAATATCGTACTTCTTTATAAAATTATTGACCGCGACACAGGCAATGACTATGTCTCTTTGCACTGGAAAAGGATAAGGAGTCGTACGATTTAAAATTGGAAATCTCACCTTCAATACACCATAAGCACGTTTAATGAAATTTCTAAGTTTTGCATGAGCATGATTGAACCTTTCTTCCTTAGTTAAAGCCCTGTTTCTTCGAAAATCAACTAACCAATACCTAGTATTGCGGTAAGGAGCCATAAATTCATGGGTGTTGGTGTATGCAGCATCACATAGGTAATATTTATCTGTAGATGGGTGAAAAATTAATCATATAAATAATATAGATAATAAAGCTTATAGAAAAATGACAAACCTGGTGGAGGGAATGGAAATCCATAAGTCGGATTAAATGCAACTTCTTTCAAAACTTTAGAATCGTGTGCTATGCCCTCCCATCCAGCCCATACAAAGGTGAATATTATATCAAAATCACAAATTCCGATTACATTTTGATAACATTCACCTTTTCCTCTCCCCCTATAGCGAGTTTGTTCATCAACGGGCACAATTGCATGTACAAGTGTTCCATCTAGTGCACCTAATACTCCAGGAAATATGTTTTTTAGCCGTCTATAACGTTCCGAGGTATTTCTTGTTGTATTAGAAGATGTTGGTACAATAATTTCTCTTGAAAAGCACATCATTGCTTTTAGCACTTCATGAAAACATTGATGAATCGTATGGAGTGGTGAAATCTTTCTTTAACAACTCGAAAACATTCATTATGTCCTACAACATGTAAAAATATAGCCATCTTCTCTTCAACGCTTATTGTCCTACTATGTTGCAACCAATTTCTTTGAGTAAAATGATTGCATAATAATACAAATGCATCTTGTGAAAGACGTATCATATCAAAACATTGTATAGGATCTCCGTGTATCAAATCTTGTGTATATGCATGCCCAATTTCTTCCGATTCGTTAGCTTTTATTCTTTCAATTTTTTTTCTTTTCTGAACCAACATCAACCAATAGCATGAGAGTATAAGGAAACCTAAAAATTCACCTTCCTTATCCAAATGTAACCTGTTACATTTTAATACAAATCACATAAGTTTTATAACATAAACCATAAAATTAATCAATAACATTAAAATGGATGGCATATAACTCCATAAAATAAAAATCCATAATAAAAAGGTCAATACCAATTGACAATCCTAAACATAACACATAAATAACCTAAACTTAAAAATCCTAAACATAACACGAAATAACCCTACACATAAAAATCCATAACATGTACCATAATATAAATCCATAAAGCATAAAGCAAAAAACATCCTAAAGTCATACTAAAGTCAACCAAGTAATCCATAACTCTTTCCCGCACTTTTCACCCACAACTCACAAGTCGAAGACTCAAGGCGTAACCAAATTTTCCTGTTACCAGCATTTTCAGCGAATAACATAAGAGCGGTGATGTATTTCGGATAAGAATTTCCCCACTCCAAGCCTTTCAATTTTTCAATACATTCATCCATCTCCTTGTCAAGATTATTAGTTTGCGCGAACGCCTGAGCTGCCTTCATAATTTCCTTGCCAACCTCTCTTATGTCATCATCCAGTGTTTCCATGGGTGCATTTCTTTTTCCTCTTCTTCTCCAATTGCATGTGATGCACTTGTAGGTGGGGGTACTGTTGAAGCTAAGGCTGGGATATCCATTTGAGGTAGAGTATCTACCATCTTGATATCCTCATAATCGTGTGTAGTAAAGGCTTCTACAAGATGAGGGAGTGTCGAAGATGGGCAGCACCGATCGAGGTCGCACAGTCAAACAACTTGGTGCCTAGATCAGGGTAAAGGAGGGGTGCATTTCTTAATGTCTCAATCATTTTGTTCAACTGTTTGAAAAAATAATTTTATTATTAAACTTTTTAATAAATAATAATGTGTTTTAAATTAAAAGATTACCTTCGCTTCCGCTTTCCACTATTCATCCGTCATTTAAAACGTGTTTGTGACAGGATTATAGAGATCCCCAATTTTTTTTTTAATTTCAACCAAACTGCATACTTGCTTTTCAAGTAGTCATAACGATATTTCATTTGTTTTTTCTCAACAACAAAGTTGTGTTCTTTTTTTAGTTTTTCAGCTATTGTATTCCATGAAGTACTTTTAAGACCACTACCCTCTCGACCGTTATTTATTAGTTCTTCGATACATGCATCAAGAAAAGTTTTGTTCACAAAATCCAAAGACCAACTAGCTCTACATCTCTTTTCTTCCATGTCTAAGGAATAAATAAATGTTTAGCTTGTTATGCAAGTATATACACATATTTCCACACAAAAACACAAATACATATACATATACAAAAAGATGCAACACAAATAAATACACCAATATACACATAAATTTGCACACATATCCACAAGTATATACACATGTTTATCTTGTTATGGAAGTATATACACATATTTCCACACATATACACAAGTACATGTATACATATACATATACACATAAACATATTTGGAGGATATATAGTAATTAATCGATACACATGTTTAGCTCGTTAATTACTATACACATGCTTAGCTCGTTAATTACTATACACATATATAGTAATTAATCAATACACATTTTTCTGCATCATAATTTTTCCTCGTTAATTTTGTTCCTTTAAAATTCAAAAACATAAGTACATGTATACATATACATATTCAATTTTCTGCATCATAATTTTTTCAAATGACCCCTTAGTTTGTTAGCCAAGTGCTTGCGAACAGTGATAGAGATCATTGAGTCCCTAGTCTCAATGATATCTAAGAGCAAGTCAATGACATCACAAATGCAGCTTCGCACAACTACCCTCTTAGATAGCAAATCCTAGACCTTTTTCTCAAAATGTTGAAGCTTGAGATCTAACACTTTGACCTTTTCTGTTTTCCTGGAAAGAGCGTCCATAACCTTACTTTTCATCGCCAAATCATCCTGAAGCTTTGTAATTTGCAATGTGAGGGATGTTTGAAAAGAGGCATGATCCTACTACAAGCCAGTGTGAATCTTCTCCATGTTTTTCTTCTCAGTTTTGAACATAGCACCCAAGTTCTGAAGAGCTTCATTCGTAGATGCAGTGTTGTTGTTGTAGGTGGTTCGGTAGTTCTCCATGAAGGTGGTTGTTTCAGAGATTAGTTTATCAACTTTTTCGGTCGTTGATTTGCAGACATCTGCAGAATCAGACACTGCCTTGTTCACTTTCGCAACATTTTCTGCATGTTCCTTCGTGATGCATTCGAACAAAGACTCAACTGTTTCTTTTGAGTAAGCTTCAGAAGAGGATGCCTTGGAGGCAAGAAGCAGTTGGTCTATTTTCTCATGAAGGGACTTAAGCTGCCCTTTCGTAACGGTGGCTTCGTCTTCACTTTCAGTCCTTATTTGAAATGGCCTATAGGTAAATCCGCCAAGGTCGTCATCATCATCATCCCCAAAAATCATTTCTGGATCATCTTGGCGAATAGGGGAGATGGGTAGAGAGACATGGGTGGTGAGGACTGAAGTGTTCGCCCCCATATCAGATATGTTGACTGTGACTTCAGGGTTCGTTGAAGAAATAGAAGTTGTAGTTGACTCAGTTAAGATGGGACTGGAGATAGAAATACTTATTGGCTGAGATGAAGAAACAGGAGGAAATAGTGATAGGGGTTGAAGTAGTTTTTGGTGAAGGAACTGAGTCACGGAGAGATTGTTTACCTCTGGGTTCGTAGTCTCATCTTGATTACGAATTGGCACTTCCTCCTGGTTAGGAACAGGTTGATTTTCTTTAATCCGAATGTCGAAATCAGTCTCAGAATCCGATTCTTCACTCGCAAATGGTGTAGGAGTTTTTCTTTTGTGAGCTGGTTATTTCTTTCTTTTCGGAACAGAAGTAGAAGATGCTACTGGTGCCTTTCGCTTTTTAGGAGAAGGTTTCGCAGCACCGGATGGACCTTCTTTGGCAGCAGTCTTTTTCTCACCTTTCTTAGAACCCTTACCTCCATTATTTTGTTTATCAGCAACATCGATTGTTGCTTGCATTTCCTAATTCAGTGGACAGAATCCCGAAGGAGCAAGTTTGCGAAATCCTTCCAAAATCTTAGTTGAAGAAGGCGCATTGTGAAACATGGTCTCTGGTATAGATCCAATAAAGGAGAATTTAGAGTTGTCGGCAATGTATATTCATGTGGTGTGAAAAGTTGAAACAGAGAAAGCCAGAGCATCCTTTATCGCCGGAATGTTGTGCTTGACGATAGCCTTGCGAACAATCAAGGAACAGAATCCTGCACAAGATATCTTGTTGTGACGAGTTGCTGATAGAGTACTTTGAATCATTTGATCCTAGAGAACAGCTCCAAAATCCACATTCAGTCCTGCGTAGAGGCCATAAAGAAGATTCATGAACAACTTACTAGCACAGTCTGACCCTGTAATCCATTCAGAAAACCCTTTGAACAGAAGAGTGAATAAAGCATTCCATTATGCTAGCATATATAACAATCAAACCGATCTAACAGATCACTAACCATAGCAACATCCTATACACATGATACAGACCTAACCTGTGACTAACATAGCATCATCCTATATACCACCATACCGACCTAACTAGGTCACCTATCATATCACCATCGTAACTACCATAATGTAAAAATCAGTATGCATATCATGCAACAACCCGGATACAAATCCGAAAAGGGGCGACATTGGTGCCTTCGACACTGTTAGTATAGTGAGGACAACTCACCTCTCAAGTAGCTTGGAATGATAGTATCAAACTCATCAAAATACAGCTCCAACACCAACACCTACATCAACCAATGATCCAATTCCATAAATTTCTAAATTACCAAAATACTCCCAGAAGTCAAATTGTTCAACCCTTGGTCAAAGTTAATGGTCAAGGTTAACAGTCCATGTTGACCCAACTCATCGAGTGCAGGTTACTGACTCATCGAGTCCTTCTAGAACTCAAGAAATCATGAAGATCCTAGTTGACTCGCCGAGTTCCCATGCAACTCATCGAGTCCATGCATGCCCATAAGTCGGGAAAACCCATAACAGCTAATCTTAATCAGACTCGCCCGAGTTGACCATGCAACTCGTCGAGTCCCTTCGGTCCATTTCCCATTCAAATGTTTTTAATATACCCCAAAGCTCCAAATTGTAGATCCAACTTGCTAAGGCACAAATTCCACGTACAATTGCAAACTTTATGTGCATACAAGCTCTTAAAGGCTTAGAACACCAAAAATAAATCTAGAATGAGGTTTAGGGCATGGTGAGAGGTCAATACAAGATAAAGTTGATAGCTTTATGAATTTGGGACTTGGAGGAGTCCAGATCTGAAGTTACAACTTCAGATCAAGGCCAATACTCGAAATGGCTCACATATATTCCAAAAATGGCCCTAAACATAAGCATGGAGAGATCTAACTAAGGAGAAGTCATGGTAACGACTTGTTACCTTCAAAATGATGCCAGGATGAGGTAGAGTCATATTCACAAGCTCTTCTTTTCTCAAAACTTCTTAAGCTCCAAACCTTCTTCACAAAATGTACCAGATCACTCTTTAAATCTCATAAACACTCAAGAACAAGATCTAAACTTATTAGGGTTTTCTTCTGGCCATGAAGAGGTAGTAAGAGACTAGAGGTAAGGAATTAAGGTCCTTTAAATAGAATGCAATTCCTAAAAATTAGGGTTTCAACTTCTAGCTCCTACTCGTCGTGTCCGGGTCCTTCGACTCGTCGAGTAGGTCCAATAATCTACGCATGCTAACCTGCCTCTACACGACGAGTTGGGGAAACAAACGCATCAATTAGGTCCATAAACATGTACATAATGCTTTGAAACTTATACATGGGATTAGAAGTCTTACAATTCTCCCCTACTTGAACTAGACTTCGTCCTCGAAGTTTGTTGTAGCGAACAAGTCTGGGTAGTGCTCCCTCATCTCTGCCTCTGGGTCCCATGTCCAATTGGATCCCCTCCTGTGCTCCTACTGTACCATCACCATAGGTACTTCCTTGTTCTGTAGAACCTTTACCTTCCTCTCAAGAATGGCCATTGGCCACTCCACGTAATTTAGTCGCTCGTCGACCTGAATATCGTCTAATGATACCACTGCCCCCTCATCTACTATGCACTTCCACAACTGTGACACATGGGAAGTGTTGTGGACTTGAATAAACTCCTCCAGGAGATCTAGTCGATAAGTTACCACTGCCCCCATCAAACTACCGCCGTATGCGGGTAGCTGCTGCCTCCTGCCGCCATGGACCGCCGCCGACCACTACAGCCTGAGGTGGCAGTGGGTGGTGCCCAATTTATTAATTATATATTTATTTAATTAGATAATCATTTAACTTTAGGAGTTGGTAACCCTAATTAGGGTTTAGAAAAACCTAATATCAAGAAACCCTAATTTTGGAGTTGGTCGGGACCCGCGTTAAAATTAATAATTAAACATAAACTTATAACTTAATAATTCCCTACAATTAACTCGATGCAATATTCGACTTAATGGATTAAGTCCTAACTGGTTAAGTGAAGAACACTAACCGTAGTTATCATTTTATGTAAAAACCCTAGAATCGAGGAGCTTTTTTTGGGTAATAATCGGGCGCGTATTTGGGCTGTTGACTGGATTATTATTTCACCCGAAAACGACTAAGTCAAACCTTAATCAATCATACCCTTAAGTGATTAAGTCCTTAATGGGTTAGGTTTTCTTACTTAACCCTAATATTCATTTCATGTGAAACCCTAATCATTATTTCATGTGAAACCCTAATCGTCATTTCATGTGAAACCTAAATCGTCATTTCATGTGAGGTGGTCACTGTTGCAAGTAACTATGAGATGTGATCGGGTATTGACTCAAGTATCTTCATGTAGGTGTTTGGAAGTGAGTTGATGCTGGTAGAGTCCTGTATTTCTACAGTGGTTTCTGCATGCACATCGAGGTGAGTTTCGCCTCACTATACCCATTGGTCGAATGCACTAATGCTGGCCCACTAGTGTTGATTATCTACTAGGATAGACTGAGGACTCTTGATCTAAGCTCTCTTACATATTCATTGTTTCGTTGTGGTTTTAGAGTAGGATCACCTGTCCGGGTAACTATCACACCTCTGAGTATATACGGTTATGCATTCCTTGGATTGTTGATATTTAGTATGTTGTTATGTTGTAGTGATCTATTAGATCTGTGTTATAGTATTTAGTATGTCGTTATGCTGTAATGATCTATTAGATATGTATTTTGGTATTGAGTATGTTGTTATGTTGTAGTGATCTATTAGATCCATGTTCTAATATTGAGTATGTTGTTATGATGTAGTGATCTATTAGATATGTGTTCTGGTATTGAGTATGCTTCTATGCTGTAGTGATCTGCTAGATCTATGCTCTGGTAATGAGTATGCTGATATGATGTAGTGATCAGTTAGATTTGTCTCATGGTATGGAGTTTGTTGCTTTATGGTAATAACCTGTAGAACTATATTTTATCTGTGGTTGTTGGTTATCATCTATAGAGTGCCCTTAGGGACTATCAGAGGTTATGTAGGATAGCCTGAGAACTCTTGGTCTAGGCTCTCTTTCATGTTCCTTGTTTGGTTGTGTCTCTAGAGTAGGACTATCTCTTCAGGTGGCTATCTCACCTCTGCTTACTTATGGTTACGCATTCGATAGGGGTAGCTGGTAGTGGGACTGTATGTAGTGAGAGGATTAGTAGGCAGTAGTGAGCTGTATGATTGTTGTTGCATTTATTATGTTCCTACTTGATCATGATTGTTTATATGTCGACATATTGTGTTTGGTTAGGTTGAGGCGATCCTGCTTTGTGACAAAGGCCAACAGACCTAGGGCGGACCGGATAGACTGCAGACCCATTAGGGCATATCAGTTAGGCCGAAGGCCCGGAGAGGGCGGACTAGACATGCTAAAGGTTCTAAGAATAGGTCAGATAGACTGCAGGCTCGGTGAGGGCGGTTCAGTCATACTGTAGACTCTATATTCATGTTGTTTGTTTGTAGGTATATGTTATCTGTTGTGTGGTGGTATTTTTGGGAAAACTCACTAAGCTTTGTGCTTACAGTCTTGTTTATAGTTTCAAGTTCTACAGATGATCAAAGTGCAAGGCAAAGGCGTAACCGTACACATATTTGGTTTTACAACAGGTTCGATCTTGGGAAAACTTTGATTTTCAAATAATGTTTGAGAACACTATTCTGTAAACATTTTATTAGAAAAAGGATCATTTTAAAAAGTTTAAATTTTTTGAAATTTTTAGGGCGTTACATTTTTGAGGTTATAGAGTCATAAAATTGAGAACTTGGTCACTCTCATTTATTGATGCATGAGTTCTTGAGCAATATATAACTTTATGGACCTAGGTTTTTGTTTTATGCTTTTTGTGACCATGCAAATGGATAAAGTTAGAGACTTTATCCATTGAGATGTTCATTTAGATCAGATCTGTAAATTTAGGAGTACATAGGCTCTACGTTGGTCGTAGCTTTATGCTGGGCGTAGACTTCGGTACGCTGAGTGTATATCTGCGCTACGCGTAGATTAGAGTGCTACGTTAAGCGTAAGTCAAATGAGGGTTGACAGTTGGCTTTTTGACCGGTTTGATTTTTGGTCAACCATGTTGGGACTTAGTATTGAAAATGTAAAATGGTCTTTTTCCCAAAGGAGGTTTAATTGTGAGCCTAGACCTTTTAGTGAGTTAGTTATTACCTTAATTATTAATTACTATTTTATTATGTGTTTAGCATAAGTAGACTGGATCTTGCTAGCTTAGGTGTGTTGTCCATCTTGTCTTCGAATTGAGGTGGGTTTTCTCACTATACTTTGTATTGTAGTATGTGTCCTTGTATGTAGGTTGTTGTTATGTTGTAGTGATCTGTTAAACTAGTAGATATGATATGATTACATGTGTTTGCTTGTAATTGTTTGGTGCATATGCCAACATAGCGTGGTTGGGTTTTTGTGTTGTGGGTCAACATACCTGGGAGCGGTCCAACTATATG